AAATACAGCACCCCACCCGACGATCTACCAGGGCACGAAAAGAGGTAAATAAACCAATACAAAACACACAACACAAGCTGCRTTTTGTACAGCTGTGATGACTGGACATCCACATTTGAGGGACGTTTTTAATCGAACCCAAGTAGGCCTGTACTCCATCGACGACAAATTGAGTGTATGCACAATATTAGCAAATGCATACCAAAAATGGACGGCATTACAGACAACACCTTCATGGCACCATTGCATTTCATCTCAGGAGAAGACACCAAAACACATGCTGGAGAGAAAGAGGGACTCCGAGGCAATTTTAATTGAACACAAGCATTCCGAAAATGAATGCCATTAAAGACAACACCTTTATTCATTCCGAAAATGAATGCCATTAAAGACAACACCTTTATTACACCTTTACATTTCATTTATGGCGAATACACAAAAAAACAAGAGAGAGAGAGAGAGAGAGAGAGAGAGAGAGAGAGAGAGAGTAAACGAAATCGAAGTCGTCATCTAAAAAAGGGAAGTGCATACTGCCCTTCATCGACGCCAATTACAATTGAGAGTTGACAGAATCATCCGTCCCGTCACACGGCCGAGGCCTAGAACAAACCAAACGAACAATGCAAAAAAAAAAAAAAAAAAAAAAAAAAAAATTCACTGGAGGACTCGTCCACTGAATTGGACCACTACCCAATTCCCTGGCCAGCACCGCCAATGGGGGAACGCCACATCGACGACGACGGCGATGGCTACATCGACGACGAAAAGACTCACTTTCGCGCCGTCCACATCCATGGAAGCGAACAGAGAGCACAACAGAGGCGGCACGAAGTCTAATGCTTGGCGATGGCCTTCGCTATCTCCAGCAAGGCGTGGCGCATAAGCTTGCTGACTTCGTCTGACGCTGCGTAGTGCTTTTTCTGCAGTTCGACCTCCGCTTCGAGCGCCTCGCACTGCCGTATGGCGATGGAGCAATGACGTTTGCTGTTGCTCTCCATCGTCGACGCCATTAGCGCCCCGTGTTTCTCCATGCATTTGGAGACACGAAAGCACCACTGGGGGGCACCAGTGGGACTATCCGACGAATCGATGCTACATTTAATGAATGCGAAATTCGGGGTCGATAGGAAATTTGAAAGCACATTCAAATCGGTATTATCCCTCAGAGTTGGTCTCGATACCCTCTCGGCGGACCTAGTCGATAGCAATATGCCGTGGTGTAAGATCTGCAGGTGGTATGGACATCACACTGCAGCATGCTCAGACAGGCCAGATCGAGAAAAGGATGCGGGCCCATCTAGGCCCGCTGGATCCAGTCAGGAGGAAGCATCAAGGCAGCAGAGTGGAGACAAGGACCAGAGTGACAAAAAGACATTCCAGACCTCCCCCCGCCCCCCCCCACTCTCAGTTCCAAGCGGGAGCGTTCCAAGCCCGGACCCACGGTTTGGCGGAGCACAGCAGATTCCAACATCGTCAATTACCGGTGCATCCAATGCCGCGGAAGGAAGTGAACACACAGGCGGAACCGCAACAGCCGGAGTACCGACATCGATGAGGGGACCCGATCAGCTGCCGTTCCCTCAACAGGTCCCACCCAGCTTCGTTCCGTTCTCGCCTTGGTGGTCATCTTCTTGCGCTGTTGTGCCACCCACTGGCACCCAGATAGCATCAGTGCTGTGTACTCGGGCTGCCCTGTTAGCATGGCCTGGTGCTTCTCTGAGTCATTGCGTTGCTGCCACGTTCCGCTTGTGGTGTTGCCCGTGAGCTGTCCAGGGCTTAAAAAGAGTCCATGACTCAAAGTGTTAATATGGGGATTTGGAAGATTTGTCCAGGGGATCAGCCTTGTGGTGTTGCCCCTGGGTTGTCCAGGGGTTGAAAGAGTCCATGACTCAAAAGCGTTAATATGGGGACTTGGAAGATTTGTCCACTGCAGGGGTTCAGTCTCCTGATGAGTCTGTGCAACCCTGATGAAACAGTCTTTCATTAACCTTATCTGTTCTTTCACCCCTGCACTTGTGCTTTTTCCTTCTTCTTTTGGGTTAATTTCAAAAATATTGCTGTTTCCAAGTTTGGCAGCAAAAATGTCGTCCGTGCGAAGTTTCCTTTGCAAAAATAGATGTTTCGTTGCAGCTTTACCGGGTTCCAAGTAGTTTGCCAGCAAAAATACCGCGTTTCGCCAAGTTTCACAGCGAAGGACCCCTAGGCCCCTGGCCTCAGGGACTCAGGGACTCAGCGTTCCGGCCTCAGGTACTCAGCTTTTCTCTTTTTTTTTTTTTTTTTTTTTTTTTCGCGGGCGTGGCATCTCGGCCGTGGCCMCSCCGAGATGCCCCGGCCACATTTCTTGTTTTTTTTTTTTTTTTTTCGTTTTTGTTTTTGGCGGCCATGGCCGAGGCATCTCGGCCGTGGGCGCACCCAGATGCGTCGGCCATGCCCGAGAAAAAAAAAGAAAAAGCGCTGAGTGCCTCAGGCCAGAACGCTGAGTCCCTGAGGCCAGAGGCCTAGGGGTCCTTCGCTGTGAAACTGGGCAAAACGCGGTATTTTTGCTGGCAAACTATAGGAACCCGATAAAGCTGCAACGAAACATCTATTTTTGCAAAGGAAAAAAAAAAAAAAAAAAAAAAACTTCGAATGGACCACATTTTTGCTGCCAAACTTCGAAACAGCAATATTTTTGCTATTAACCCTCTTTTTTTCCCCCATCTTTCCACTCTGTTTGTTTGGGTCTACCACGTTGAGAATCGTCCTTTCACTTGACTCACTCACATGTGTGTTGTCCTCCTAACTTCCTAAGGACCTAACTTTCAACGGGGGCTATTCAACGGGTACAACGGCGTTTAAGCTCCAGGGGATATTCATTGGTGCATGACCTTCTCCATGCACATTCTTTCTCTCTCGCATAGACACGCATCTGCTTTCTCCCTCTCTTTCTCTCTTTGTCTCTCCCCCTTCCCCTCCCTTGCTCTCCCTCACACACCTCAATCCTATCATTATTACAAGTGGACCGTGTGGCAATGCTGCAGCCAAACAGAGGGGATGACAGAAACCAATGGAGGCGAAAAGAACCACAACTCAGCCTTTGGCATGGCTAACTGGTAGGGCAGCATTATCATGATGTGGCCTGAATGATACCATGTGGCATACTGCATGGGGTGGATGCCATACATTGTGGACTGGGTGGTACTAAGTGGGCAGGGCGATATTCTCTGGCCTCGTTATACTACGTGGGCTGAGTGGTGATACAGGGGGCGGGTCAGACTCTGTGGACTGGATTTTTATTTTATTTTATTTTTACAAAGAGAACACTTTCATTATATGTGGGCTGGCCGGTTGAGTCTGGGGTAGGTAGCTTATGATACATGGGCCAGGCAAAACAAAAATGAAGACACTACCACAAAAAAAAAAAAAAAAAAACTTAAGGGGCCAGTGGCGGAATGGAATGGTACACCCATTGAAACAACTCGGAGATTTAAAAACAAACCAAAACGAAAAAGCAAAAACTTTCATTATAAACTGGGAATCGGGCCCATCATCCCTTACTCGTCCCTTCATAGGCCATAGCCATTCGGGGCCTTGTGTGTGAGAGAGGGGGGGGAGGGGGGGGGAAGCATGCGCAACATTAAAATCGCTCACCCCTCTACTAGCAGTCACCGTGATCGTGACCTTTCTTTTTTTTTCGTGACCTAGTTACTTAGGGCTGGACCCCACTGGAAAAACCTTGGAAAAGTGTGTTATTTTGGAAATCGTGGAAAGGGTACTTGGAAGATTCCGCGGATGAAATGACGGGACCCCACCAAAGAGGCTGGAAAAGGCCTGGAAAAACGATTTCTTCCAGACTTTTCCAAGCTCGTGCCATCATTGTGGACCAGCGAAGCCCGTTGGGGTGGTATGGGCGCCCACGATGTCCGACTCGGGAGGCGTGGGTGGCGGCGTGTGGCCGCTGGAACGTAAGGTGCCACCTACCGGACACTCCATGGACCCGGGTCGTGCAAGGAAGTTTTCCAGACTTTTCCAGCCCGCCCCCCCTAAAATAGTGCCGTCAACTACGGAAAATGAAACATTTCGGACCGAAACCACATGTGGAAAAGTCAAATTGCCATCTTCCAGGAACACTTTTCCAGACTGTGGGGTCCCAGGAAGCGGAAAACGCAACAAAAAAAACACTTTCCAGGAACCCGATTTCTTCCAGTGGGGTCCGGGAAAAGCACTCGCGTCGTTTTCCAAGATTTTGGCCTGACAGTGTGGGGTCCAGCCCTTACAATCATGTGTGTTTTCCTCATTCAAATGGGCCCGCTGTATACAGTGCATAGTTGTGTTCAAGCAGCTGAGGGCCCAACATAACTACAGTCCACAGAAACTACAACGAACTGACTCGGGGAGATTTTCTTATTTTCTTATTTTCTTATTTTCTTATTTCGTTTTCTATACTGAGTCCCTTCCTAAAGTGTGCGTAACACCCAGGCGAGGCCTGACTTACAGTCCTGGGAAAACGTCGGGACCAGCAGAAACCGCTCCCCGACCATGTTTGAATGCAAGTACATAGCAGGCCATGTGCGGTGTTGTTTCGCGCTGAAAGTGATCAAGCCTCGGC